CTACCTACCTTTCTGCACTCAGCAGGAAACTTTTTTTTAATCCAGATGATAAAGTGCAAGGCCCTATATACTAATAAAGTGTGATTAATTAATAATTCACATCTCCACATCTCCTCAGAAACAACCCACTGAACTCTATAAATATCTGAAACCCCTACAAAAATAACTGAAACAAAAGCGCCGTTTTCGTCTCGCTAATTACGTTTACGTAAATTAATAGCTAATTTGCTGCATTGTTTAATTTGCAGCAGAACGTTTGTTGATCCTTTTCTCCTGTGAGCCTAAGCAATTCATTTTCCTTAAAATATTTTACTGAATATTATTAAGTGGTTGAATTTCAAATGAAATAATAATTAAAACGAAATTGGTGCTGTACAACCGATTTATTTTATGATGATCTACCATTCTACCATACTACATGATTATATACCAGTATAACGCCTTATGGGGCGACTAACGGAGCGAGCGAGAGGGTGGGCCTTGCACGTGCGAAATTTCGAGGGGGTACCTCCAACTGACTTGTGCACGGCACCCTACTAACCGGTCTCTAGCGATGTGCCAAATTTGAGCGCCATCGGTCCAGCCGTTCTCGAGATCTGGAAACGACCCCTGCACGTGCGCACGTGCAGCAGCACCCCAACTCTGGCACATGGATATGCAGTGCCTAGTGGGTGCCTACCTACATGCCAACTTTCAGCATAATCGGCCCAGTAGTTACCGAGATATTGCAACAATTACAAAACTGACACCTCTTCGTTTTGCACGTGGCACGTGCATAAGGGGTCACCCACATGCATCGGGAATAGTCCAATACTTGGTAGAAGGAATGAAGCTACCCTACAAAAATTACCGCATGTAAATCGGTCAAGTGGTTGCTGAGATTTAACCCGCGCCCGGCTGGGGGTCCTGGATTTCCACGCCCTGCTGGGGGGGGGGTGTTTGAACACCCCCCCTTGTAACTCGGCTCCTGGGCCACGTAGCGATACGCGGAAGGCGGCGTTCGAAAGAGCGTCAAAAATAATGACGAAATCACTTCGGTCAATTTTTTGGTCAGGTCAAAGGTCAGGTCACCAGAGGTCATTTAAGGCAAAATTTCGCCGATTTCCAGGTCTAATATCGAAAACTTCCAAGAAGCCAACGCATAACTCGGGAACCAATAGAGCTACAGCGCTGCGGAAAAGCGCATTTGATAGCCCTATTAACGCCCTTTCTGAGTAATTCTCTCAGATTTGACCTAACGTCAACGGTTTTGCCTGCAGGGGGCAAAAACTGCAAAAATAGCCGATTTTTTCGGAAACAGTTTTTCGGCAATAACTTTTGACCCAAGCCTTGTACGACCTTACTTTTACCGGCATCGTGTTCCTCTCGTCAAGACGCATCGAATGAACTATAACTTGACCTTGAAAGGTCAATTTGAAAATTTGACCTCAGGTCAAGGTCATGACCTGACCGGAAAAGGTCATGTTGCATATCAGTCGATCCGTATCGTCGAGCTGAACACATCTAAGGCGTTTTCATCGCTCTAGCATGCCTCTATCAAAAGTTATTTGCGAAAAACTGTTAGATACCATTCGTGACCTAAGATGACCTCAGGGCATAAACAAGGGTCACGGACACCATTTTCATGTTCAGTGTGTCTAAACCACTTGTAATTCAGTGTTTGGGAGTGTTTATAATGTCTTTCGTTTAAAAGAGGCGCATTTCAATTTTCTCCCATTGACTTATAATGGGGAGGTCGCAAAATTGACCTGACCTTAGGTCACCGATATCAAAATTCCGAGATATACATTTTATAGATACTGTTACCCTTATCAATCGCTGAAAGTTTCAAAGCGATCGGTCACTCGGTGTAGCTATGACAGACATTGAAACTTTTTATGAGGTGAGGTCACTTCAAGTGACCTGGTGACCTGACCTTGAATGACCTTGGTCTGAAATTTTCACAACATGTGTAGAATTGATGTATGATAAGGTGTACCAAAAACGGCGGCGCTCCGCGCCGCCGTTTTTGAGATATTCGCGAAAAACCACAAGGGGGGGTGTTCAAACACCCCCCCCCCCCAGCAGGGCGCGGGATAAGCCTCGCAAAAGCGTCCGCACGGCCGGCCGGCCGGCCGGCCGGCCGGCCGGCCGGCCGCTCATACTCAGAAATTTCCGTTAATCTAAGGAAAGACTACGCTCGCTTCGCTCGCTCCGTAATTACTGACCGGGCCGACGAAATTATTTGGAAACGAGGTTTGCAAAATTGACGTAGGCCCGAGTGCGAAGCACGAGGGCCGGAGTTAAATTTTGCAAACCGAGTTTCCAAATAATTTCGTAAGGCTGAGGTCAGTAAGATTTTTCCTACATGCCGCAGGCCTTGATGCCGCATACCTGCTAAGTAGTTTCGACAGGTTTTGGTGCTACTTTTATTAAATTGTTTTGTCCATAATTTCCTAACAGTGATTGCGCTACTGCTGTGTTTTGTCCATAATTTCCTAGCAGTGATTGCGCTACTGCTGTGGATAAAGCTTTAAAGGAAATTTATAGAAGAAAATGCATCAAACCACCTTACTTCAAAAAGAATCGCGACTGAAAATATCAACTCAGAATGGCACAACAACTGGATATCCAAGGAACATAATACATGAATAATTTGCCACGACATAAGAACAAGAAGAAGGTATAATAATCCTAGTGATTAAACGTAAATTTTCCAGTGCTCTTGCAAGAATCTTTTCTTTATTTATGTAATCGTACTTTGTTGATGCCCTATGGGTAAACTTTCGTGAAATACATTATATTTTCCATATTTTACATGTTTGTTTCGGGGAAAGGACTACAACTGTCAAATGATAACGCAATAACTTAGGCCCAAGGTCTCAGTGGACATATCAAACGAAGATAAGATAACAAGCGATAACGGATTTCGATTATTAGGCGCATATCTTAACATAATTTCGGCTTTGTAACCAATGCAAAATATTTCAAAACCCTTGATAAGCAGAGCTTTTATTTTTTACCAAAAAATGCTGGTTTTCTAATTTTACGCGGCAAATATCATGCAATAATGTCAATTACACATTTCCTGTCAATTATACTTCTGGGCTAATGCGATAAACTGTAGTTAAGAGGTCATTGCCCTGGGCAGTAAACCCGGGCAGTAAACTTTTGTTTACTGCCCGGCCTATCAAATAACATGGCATTTTGACACCGACAGTTTCTTGGTCATAGTTTTACTGCCCGGCTCGTGCTGTGCTTAAGACATACCCCGGCATGTAGGAAAATCAATGACGTCATCTTACCAAAAAATCAAAAGACGTAGAATAAGGATTTATAAAAGCTTAGCATACTTATCGGCAAAACGTTTTCTTTGTTTTTTCTTTTTAATTTTCCTTGTTTCTACTTCCTTTGTCCTTAACTTATCCTGTGGTTCCAGAGTCCCTGTCCTTTCCATTTCCTTTTAAATATATTTTTAATGCTCATCCCTATCCCCCAGTCCTAACAGTTTCAAATTGTATTGCAATAAAATGTTTTGAATTCTTCACATATAACCTATCTTCCTTCGTTGGTACTGTTGGTAGCCAGTGACACATCTAGGCAGGTAAGTAGGTACCTACCTGCTTTCCTGCTGTCTTCATAAAGCATACCTAATGAAGTTGTCAAATTTGTAGCACATTTTCAACACTTTCATATGGTGTCAGTGTGGCATGAAACCTAGCTAGGTTCATTATGTTCACGGTTCAATTCAGAAGAGCTCCGCATAACTCACATAAGAGACAGACGGGGGTTTTACATGGGGTAGATGGCCTGATGACTTAGCTGGAATATGGCCAAAATTAAATTGACAACTTTTAGGTGAAAGGTGGTGATTTGGGTTAAGGGGCGTTTGTTGAAGTCAACTACTGGGCTATTTTGCACCCATTAAATGAAACTTCTGCTCCAATTCTACCCATTGAACCTCAATATCATGATCCACCTGTCCATCACTAGGTATCCTTCCTTATTACATAGAAACTTTGAATGGCATGGCAATTTATAATTTTAAATGGCAATATTTTTATGTTTCTTCTGTAGGTAGGTAGGTAGGTAGGTAGGTAGGTAGGTAGGTAGGTAGGTAGGCACACCAGACTGCTATGGACACTTTTCCAAGTTGGTGGGGCAAAAAACCTAATGTATATCTTGGTTTGAGTCGTTTGATTGAGTTGATTGATTCCTTTCATTGTCGCGTTTGAGTCGATTGAATCAATTCCCGAAAACTGCTCTGACTTGATTGATTTGATTGGTTTCCCAAATTTGTCGTGATTGAATTGATTGCTATTGATTGAGTCGTATACAACCCTGGTGCCAAGTCGTTGGTAAATACCAAAAATAGGACCGGGCCCAGGATCGAACCCTGGACCACTCCGTGTGACACGCTCAACCTATCGGTTCGTTTGGAAGCCTATCAAGGTGTCCGGATCTCCCACACCAAACGAGAGTCCTTTCCCGAAAAGGAACCACCCTCAGTTTGTTTTTCAATAGAAAAACACCATTCAAAAGAATAGTGTTTGTCTAATGAAGAAACAACGTTCGGGTATGTACAGTCTGTCTTAAAAGTACCGCGCAAAGTGACAGTGGATCCACCAAGCCTGACCGAGGAAGGGCCTGCTATAATTTGAAAGTCACCGAACCAATTGACCTGGGGAAGGGACGAGGATGTCCATTGCTTCGGGGTGACTCAAATTTAGCAGTCTTTCATCGGTCAGGCATGATGGATCCACCGTCACTTTGCGCAGTACTTTTAAGACAGACTGTACTGAGACTATATGACCTGTATGTACTGAACTGTATTAACTGACGCATGTATAAGCGTAGTGCATGCATTGTGCACAATGTTCAATTACTGTCCAACAGTGCCGATCGACCTTGGCTTTGTCAGTGTCGTCTGTGTCAGGGTTTGACACCACAGTGTCAGCCGCCTCCCGACCCGGCAGCAGCTCCGTCCGACTGCTGTCAGCTGACACAGCTCTGTCCGACAGGGCCGGAGGTGACGAAGCCGAGGTGGCCTGGACGGTACGGGAGTGGTCTGTCGGTATCTCTCCAGGGGGTGGCTGCCGACACCATCAGTCACCTGGCCACGGAGCTGGGGTCACGGATTACGCTACTAGTCACGGATGGTGAGCAACGATTGAAGTTACTCATATATGAATGGCTAGGAAGGGATAAACAACAGTAGCTGTTCCGACTTCCGGCGCTCAGCGTTCTCTGGCTGTGACGTCACGGCCACCCCGGCGGGCCGCGGCCCGGCTGACCTCCAGTGACCTTGAGACGCGCTGCCGGCCGCGTCAGCTGATTGTCGGCGGTGCGCGGCGACCCCAAACGCTGCCGGACTGGTCAGGTGCAGGTGGCGCTGCCGGGCGCTCCTGAACGGGGCAGGGGGCGACACGGGGACACGAAGAACGGAGAAACAGGCCGGCGGCACCGTTCCTTGCTTGTGATTTTTGCTCTAAGGTACTGTCTATTTTTTTTCTAGCAAATGTTTATAAATAACGTGGGGAAGCAGTTTATCCCCGACACTCTGAAGCCTAAATCAAACCAGGAATAACTGGATACAACACATATTACATGTACTGTAGGTAATGCTGCCTCCCTCATCCTAAGGTAAGACGGAAGCCATAAGCCATGGTATTTGGTAAGCCGTAGGATGACAATTCGTGTGGTGAATGGTGCTGGTCAATAATTTGGGCCTGCCATGGACGTAATATTTACGCTATAAAATTTATAACGATGGAAAGTTGAAATAATTAGCTACACATAATAGCTGAACAAAATACTTAACCCTATTAGTGGCAGGGGGGTGTTTTTATCCACCCCTCAGGTTTTTCGGGAATATCTCCGAAACCGCTAAAGCTACGATGCTGAAATTTTTTGACTTTTCCTAATACTAAATTGGGCACATTCCCTGAAAATTTCAAGTTCATAACTTTACCAGGGGCGGCTCCAGAGCACTGGGAATTGGGGGGGTCCTATTCGTGAAGCGAGTCATTTGGGCGAAGATCACGATGCTGCACCAGTTTTACGAACAGTGAATGAAAGGTATTATGTTATAACATATACAGTTATTGTGCATCCTCTTTTGACACGTTTTTGCTATAATAGGCGGATCCAGGCGTCCAAAAAGGGGGGTTATGTTTTACCTCCCAACATAGGTGCCCTGACACCGCCTATGCATGACCAATACAATTGAAGTCGTTCTCTCATAAGAAAATTGTAACATAACAAGACCATTACTACCCTTTTTAGAAACAGTACCAACAAAAACCTTATTTACTATACTTTTTGTGTACCCCCAATCTCAATGATCTGTATCCGCCTATGATTTTTGAAAATGCATATTTTTAGGATCCATGTGAATTCCTGGTTCATTCTCTATCGATCGGCAAAAGTTGCGTTAAGATTGGTTCAGAAACCTGGCCGTGATAAACAGTCTAAAATGTATCTGCAATTTGCACGTTTTTACCCCCCTCTACCCCCTATTAACATTTTTATTTTTTTATTTTTTAGAAATGTAGATCACGTTGAGCGAAATCGAATGCCGTTTGAATTTCGAAAATCGGCCCGTTAGATCTCGAGATATCAAGGGGGGTCGTAAACAGCCCCCCCTGCCACTAATAGGGGTAGCCAGGAGCCTGCCACTAATAGGGTTAACCCTCGCCGGACCTATTGGTTTTCTACATACGCGCCGGCCGAGGGGGGGGGGGGGCGGGTACGACCCCCCCCCTCGCCGTTTCGCCCCTGGTGGAGCTAGCGCGTCGCGGAAAAAACGAGCGTGTGCGCCGTTACGAGACGCAGAGATTGGTACCCGATTTTAAGGTCCTAGGTCAACCGGTGACCTCTGAGGTCAGGTCAAGTGCCCCAAGGTACGGTTCAGTTTTTGGTGAATAACTTCGCAAAAAAACGACCGCAGAGCGCCGATTTTGGCAGCATCGTGTTCGTCTCGCTCAGGCGCGTCGAATGATATACTTTTTGTCCGGGTCAGGTCAACTTGGGGTGTTGACCTCAGGTCAAGGTCAGGTCAGCGCCCCCAGGTCACGAAGTTGGTCGAAAGAGGTCATGTCGCATATCTTTCGATTCGGCAGGTTTTCCTGAGTCCATTGGTGGCTTTCCCGACTCGCTAGCTCAATTTGATCAAGAGTTATTGACGAAAAACTAATATGACCTTGATGACGTCATAAATGACGTCACGCAAGGTCAACATTGCAAAAGTGACGCATCTAACCTTGCAAGGAGTGCATCAAATCACGATTCTGTGTGCTTGAGATAGTTGGAGATCGTTCCCGGCGCCAGAATAGCAGTTTTCATTTTTCCCCATTGACTTATAATGGTGAGGTCACGAAAATGACCTGACCTCATATGACCTTTAGGAAAGATCCGAGATATACAAGTTGTGGGACTCATAATGGATACTAGATCCTGCAAGTTTCATTTCCCTGTGACATCTCCTCTGGCAGTGAGGGCGTTGCGAAGTTGCGACATCTGAAGACCGTGCAGAGGTTCACTTATGACGTCATAGGTCAGTGACCTGACCTGACCCAAAAATGCGGTTGGTGTCAAAAGATCCGGCTTGGATCAAAGGTCAGGTATGCCAAGTTTCAGCTCTCTATCGCCAGCGTGTTCGGAGCTATCGCGAAAAAACCCTATGGGGGGCGGCACCCGCCCGCCCCCCCTCGGCCGGCGAGGGTTAAGTGAAAAGGATTCAAAAGCTGTCAGATTGATCAATTGACATCATGAAAATATGTCTTAGTTCGGAATATAATCTACTAATTTAATTGCGATTTTTATTTTATATGTCAAAGACCCATTATCATTTTATTTGTTGAATATTCTGTTATGGAAAGTCGCCGTAATTTATGAAATTCACATCGTTTTGATAAAGTACATACTCACTCAGACACGGAATTATCACAGCATTGTAGCCACAAACAGTTTTCACTTTGTGTTTTCTACACCTGTAGGTAAGTGTACTATGTTTGAGCTAGACTAATGCCTGACATTGGTTCAATCACCTTTCCAGCACAAATAACTACTATTCCAAGTCAACTTCGTGGTGCCATCATCAGGGTGGAGCCAAACACTGTCATCCTTCCGGCCGGAGTCGGTGACAGCGAACTGACGGAGCTGCGGAGCTCACGGGAGACTGTGAAACGCCTGTCAGTCTCCGCCGCCGACCTCCCGCGACTGAGGGGGCAGCTGCCGGAGGGCCTCAAGCGCCTCAATATCAGAGGTGAGATACCACGGATCATGCATGTAATGCCGGTATAATGGACAATGCATATAGATAAACAAATGGACAGGGAGACGGAAAATGGACGAACCGATCAAATTCAGCGAACATCTTACAGCCTTGTTTGTGTTACATGGTATTGTTAGAGTGATGCAATGCATGCATTTGCATATAGTGTGAGCATCAAGTGCATGCATGAAATATTATTGTAGCAATTATGGTAATTTGAAATGGTTTCATTGCAACCACTGCGAACCATATATTTATGCTGTCTACCAACCTGATCCGTTACTATACCATGACTGGCTGCCCAGTGCCTAGGCCAATGTGCCTTGCAAAAATCGTAATAGGGGAAGTTGGGGGAACGCCGAATACTTTTTTACTGACGCCCGTAGCACGCAAGGTAGACAACATAAGCTATTCTTGTTGGCGTCATTCGAGAGACCAGTCTTTTGCCTTTCAAACACACCAGGCGCATTTGATGAATTCGCATACCGTTAAGCGCACAAACTAAAAATATCAAAGAAGTGACTTTTTCGGCGTTGCCCCGGACTGCGGGGAAAGCCGAAAATGGGAGAAATGATCTACGGGAATGCCGAAATTGATGTTTTGCTATTTTATCTCAAATTTTATCCAGAATTCGTCAAAGCTGACACGCGTTTAGAGCTTGAGGACTAGAGGTGGCAAAATGTGGACCCGAGGACCCGGTCTAAAGAACCAGTCTCGACCCATATGGGTACAGACCGGTTCCTGGAAATTTTCTGACGGGTCCAACCGGGTCCTACCACAAACTTATCTTGCACACTACACATTATTGCAAAATATGGAGTGAATGAAGTGAATGTTTCTTTGCACACAGTAGCTCATGAGCAGTGGCGTAGACAGGGGGGGGGCCATGGGGGCCATGGCCCCCCCCTTTCCGCCCAGCCGCCCAAATGGCGCCCCAATTAGCGCCGACTAGGCTGATGCCGTTTTACAGAGAGAACATGAATTAAAAAGTGATGTGCAGGCAGGGATCGAACTCAATATCTCTTTGGGGGTGCCTGGACACCTAAATAATCTCCAGGGCACCCCCAAATACGACCTGAGCCCCCAAATGTTGAAGGGCGCCCCTCCGGAAACCAGAATATTCCGAACCTCCAGGGTCGATAGCGCCCCTGAAGAGCCGCTGGCACCCACCTAAACGGAACAGTCGCCCCATTAAAGCTTGATGGCGCCCCTCTAGAGCACCCGGCGCCCCTCTGAAGTTCACAGCTGCCCCAATCGACCCATCCAAGATCGATCCCTGAAACCACTGGCGCCCCTCTAAAGCACCCGCATTCTTCTCAAGATCACAGTCGCCCTATCCGAGATCAGTAGCGCCCTCAAGAGCCACTAGCGCCCCACCCCCTTGAGACTGAAGTCGTCCCGCTTGAGACTAAAGTCGCCCCATTCAAGCCCAATGACGCCCCTCCAGAGCGTCCGGCGCGCTTCTGAAGATCACGCCCATCTAAACGAAGGTTACAGCTGCCCCATCTTAAGATCGATGGCAGCCCTCTGAAACCAATGGCGCCCTTCTAGACTACCCGGCACCCCTCTGAAAATCACATTCGCCCCATCCGAGACAACGCCCCTGGAGACTACAGTCGGCCCACCCAAGCTCAAGCCCCTCCAGAGCCTCCCTGCGGCGCCCTGCTGAAGGCAACAGTGGCCCAATCCATGCCCAATGGCGCCCCTCAACGCCGTTCTAACCCTAGAACGCCTAGGGGGGGGGGGTTGTATCAACCCCCCCCCCTGAGGTTTTTTCGAAGTGCACGCTAAACGGCTTGTCGTAGCGGGCTGAAATTTTCAATACCCTCTGGGGCAACCTTTGCGCATCTTTTGCCGAAAAAAATTGATCGGGTCATGTCAGGTCACGGAGTTATGACGTCATAAGAGGTACAGCCTCCGGCCGACAGTTACCAAACGTGTGCGCCGAATCCCTAGGTTTTCTGCCGGTGATACCCACATTGTTTGATGGATCATGATGCAACTTCCCATGCATGTTGGGGCAAGCATTGGCTATCGTGTGGTGCAAGAAAATTGACCGGGTCAGGTCAGGTCACGGAGCTATGACGTCACAAGAGGAACAGCGTCCGGTACTATTTTTGAAAAGCGCCCGAACCACTATTTTGCTAATTCTTGTCACCTCAATGGGAATATGCAGCAATATTAGCTTCTATAGGGAGCAAATGGATCTCCCAAATCCAAAAATACAATCAGATTTCAAAAATTAAAATTTTGATTTTTCGAATTTCTGCCGCCGACTGTGACCTTGCCGACTTCCGGCACTCCCAACGCGCCATTTTTAGAGCTAGGGAAACGAAATACATACCAAACGATAGAGAATTGATCAAGGAACACGATAGTGAAGGTTTCAAGTCGATATCTCCCACCGTTTTGCCGGAATCGCCGCGGAAAGTTGAAAAGTTTGATTTTTCCGGAAAATTTGACCTTTGACCGGTCATAAGTAGGTCAAATGTTGACCTAGGACCAAAAAATATACCACCAATCGCGAGATCTCGTTGAGAGCAATCCGTTGGTTTTTTCCGCTAAGTTCTACGACCTTCCGTTTCGAAACGCCAGGGGGGGGTCGTAACAACCCCCCCCCTGGTCGTTCGTGTTATGAGAAATGGCCTGGTCGTGCGAGGGCTAAAGATCACAGTCGCCCCATCAATCCGAGGTCGCTGGCGCCCCTCAAGAGCCACTGGCGCTCACCTGAACCGGGGCTTCAGTCGGCCCATCCTTGATCAATGGCGCCCCTCTGAAACCACTGATGCTCCTCTGAAAATCCCAGTCGGACCATCCGAGATCAATGGCGCCCCTCCAGAGCGTCCGATGCCCTACTGAAGGCAGCAGTGACCCCATCCAAGCATTGCACCCCTCTAGAGCACCCGGTGCCCTTCTGAAGATCACATTCGCCCTATCCGAGGTCGTTGACGCCCTCCAGTAGTCACGACGCGAAACTGAATTGGATACTTCGGTCGCCCCCCCCCCCGAAACCACTGACGCTAGGCAATTTTTTGACAATGGGGCTTTCTCATCGACACCAAGGGCCCTTTTCAAGATGCAGCAGCTAGGCGGCGCCGAGCTGGGCTTGGATGTGCCAAGCGAAGCGTTCCTTATTAGGCAGCCTTGTAAGTGCCACCCTCGTTGCGATACCGCCCCTCAACGCGACGCTGCCCCTTCACCGTACAATGCCACCCCTCAATGCAAGTTGCGCCCCTCAGCGCTGTGCCGCCCATTATTGCGATGCCGACAGCGCCTAGCAGTGGGGTGCCGCCCCCAGCGTAAGCGTTTTTTTATTGAACCTGCTGGGGGTGTTCGAACACCCACTTCTAACTCAGCTTGTGGGCCACGTCGAGACACGCAGTAGGCGGCGTTCGAAAGAGCGTCAAAAACTATTACAAAACTACTTAGATCATTTTAAGGCTAGGTCGAACTGGTCGAAGGTCAGGTCACCAGCGACAACCGAAAATCAAATTTCGCCGATGTTGACATTTTTTGACAAAGCGGCGCATAAGTCAGGATTCAGAAAGAGATTGAACTACAGCGCCGCAGCAAAGCGCATATTCGATAGCTCTTTTTTATGCTCTCTCTTATTGATTATCTCAGATTTGACCTAAGGTAAACGTTTTAGCCTCAAAATATACGTTTTCGCGGAGGACGTTTACATTTTGCTCAGACCTGCATGAGATTAGTTCAACCAGCATCGTGTTCCATTTTTCGAGACAGACAAGTCAAATGAACTAGAATTTGACATTAAAAGGGCATTTGAGAATTTGACCTAAGGTAAAGGTCATAACCTAACCGGTAAAGGTCATATTGCATATTAGTCGATCCATACTTTCGAGAAGGAAAATAATTATATAGGGTGTTTCATTGCTCTACCATATCTCTATCAAAAGTTATTGTCCAAAATCTACTGGAGACCTTTCATGACCTGAGATGACCTCAGTAACATAAAAGTGGTCACATCACGACTGACATTTACTGATTAACCCTCGCCCTGGCAGGGGGGGGGTCGATGCGACCCCCCCCCCTAAGGTTTTTCGAAGATAGCGTAAAAACGGCGGCGCGCAGCGCCGCCAAATTTGGCATAGCCTATGGGGCAACCTTTTTACATATGACCTGAAAATTTCAGGTCCGGGTGACCTTGGGTCAGGTCACCAGGTCAGAAAAACCGGTACAAGGTCATGGTCAAATTTCAATTTTCTTTTTGCACCTGTCCAACTCACAGTTTTGCACTGATTTCCTTCAAACTTTCAGGATGTGCTAAGTTCACCGAGTTGTATAACATATAGTTCGGGTTTTTTGAGGTCACTGACCTGAGGTCAGTTAGAGGTCATTACGTCGTAATGTTAAGCCTATGGGAAAATACTAAATTCGGAAAATACTGGAGTTATCCGCTTCGTTCTATCATTTTTGTGCTTTGAAATCACAGTACTTAACAGCAGGTCACTTGGTGCCTCTTTGTTTGGTGTACTTATCCATGGGTCAGGTCAAATGAGGTCAACTGAGGTCAAATGACGTTTTTGTCAATAACTTGGCACATAATGACGCTAGAGCTTAAAAAATGGTATCATTGTGTTCCTGGTGATCAGCCGAATCGAATGATATACGATATGACGCAATTTGGTTAACTTGAACTTAATTTATAAATTTAAGTTTACTTAAAATTTAAGAAAAACTTTAAGTACACTTAAACAAGCTAAAAAGTATATCATTCGACGCGCCTTGACGTGCTGAGTTCACTGGTGCTTTTCTTTTTGCTCTATCTTAATTAGATCAAAAGTTATAAGCGAAAAACTTTTGACCTGTTTTTAGCGAAATTTTTACATTTATACCCCCCAAAACCCCCCTAAATATTGACCTAGAGCAACCAAATTTGCACAGGGGCGAGAACTCCTGGGGGCCCACCTACCTACCAAATTTGGTGTTTCTAGGTGCCATAGGAGCCAATCGCGAGGGGGGGGTCGCATCGACCCCCCCCCTGCCAGGCCGTGTTATGAAAAATGCCCTGCCAGGGCGAGGGTTAAATGTGTCATATTTACCTGCATCCCGATGGTTGAGGTTGTTTTCGTTCAGAAGAAGAGCATTTCAACTGTCTCCCATTGATCCGCGCCGTGCTGGAGGGGGGGGGGGGGGTACACCCCCTTAGGTTTTTTTCCTCGCGAACATCTCAAAAACGGCGTCGCGCAGCGCCTCCGCTGTCTTTGGTACACCTGTTCATACATCTTTTCTACACAGCTTGTTAAATTTCAGATGAGGGTCGTTCAAGGTCAGGTCACTAGGGCACGTCAAGTGACCTTACCTAAAAAAAGTTAAAAGACCCGCTATAGCTACACCGACAGAACGATCACTTTTGAAACTTTTAGAGATTGATAAGACTAACAATATGCATAAAATGTTCATCTCGGACTTTTTATGTCTGTGACCTAAGGTCAGGTCAATTTTGGGACCTCAAGTCAGTGGGAGAAAGGAAATGCGCCTCTTTTGGACGAATGTCGTTTAAAACCCCTTAAACATCGGTTCATAGGTAAACATAGCACACTGAATCGTAAAAATGCACATGTGTCCTTTTATGTGCCCTTGAGGTCATCTCAGGTCATAAGCGGTCACCTATTTTATCACCATAAACGGTTTTTTGGCTTCATCTTTAAATGGAGACGTGCTAGAGCGGTGAAAACACGTCAGATGTGGTCAGCTCGACGATACGGATCGACTGATCTGCAGAATGGCCCTTTACGGTCAGGTCATGACCTTGACCTGCGGTCAAATTTTTAAAATAACCTTTCAAGGTCAACGTATAGTTCATTCGACGCGTCTCGACGAGAGGAACACGAGGCAGGCAAAAGAAATATCGTCACTGTCTTGAACCAAATGTTACTGCAGAAAAACGCTTTTCATAAAAACTGTTATTTTTGGAATTTTTTCCCTCTGGCTGGAGGCTTAACCATTGACCTGAGATCAAATCCGAGAGCAATATTTAGAAAAGCCTGTAAAAGGGCTATCGAATACGCTTTTCCGCGGCGCTGTAGCTCTATTGGTTCCCGAGTTAGCCGTTGGCAGTTTCCAAAATTGTTGAAATGGACTCAATTTTACCTTTGATGACCTCTAGTGACCTGACCTTTGACCTGACCTAAAAATTGAAACGAAGTCTTTCCGTCATTATTTTTGACGCTCTTTCGATTTCCCCTTACCGCGTGTCGCTACGTGGCCCAGGAGCCGAGTTAGAGGGGGGACGTGAAAACACCCCCCCCCCCCAGCACGACACGGAAAGCACAGGCCACCAGCACGGCGCGGGTTAACTTATAGGTAATCGGTAACTTTTAGGTACTTATAGAGAGGTAGCAAAATTGAACTGGCCCTCAATGAAGATATTTGAGAGGCTGCAGTCCACAGGTCATTTTGGTTCAGTGAGTGAACCTGTATGTTTTTTTTTTGCAAAGAATAAAGATTGTGCCAATCGATCAACGCATATTTTACCGTTTCGAATTCGAATGGGTGTGTATTATGAGAATAACATGTCCGTAGCCTGAGTTCGTTTCCTATATCGTGCTAAATATGCATAAAGATTTTTTATCGCTTTTGATAAAAAACACTGAGCTGCAAATTGCATTAATTGGATTTCATGAAAAATCAGCGAAACCTGGTTCTGATACTCGTGCCGGTTCCGTAGGAACACCTAGTAAATCATGCATGAATATATGACGCTACATTTTAGACTGACCCCCTGTCACTAGCTCACTATGGCGCCCCTCTCAAGGGAAAAAGTCGCCCCCTCGAGCACCATGGCCCCCCCTTTCGCTGATTTCTGGCTACGCCACTGCTCATGAGTAGGTATTGCCAGTGGGACATAAGCTGTTTTACATAATGCAACTAATAATGCCTACAAGTAGTTCGTATTAACTTAATTGACTTTTGGGGAACGGGTCCAACTGGTTCCGATCCCAACTAATACCGGGTCCGACTGGTTCCAGAAATGTCCAGCCGGGTCTGGTTCGAGTCTGGTTCCCAAAATTTTCATCTTTTGCCACCTCTATTGAGGACGCTTGGTGCACACTGGAAGTTATAATTGTGTGATATAATAAGAAAAGGCCAGGTACCTAAATCATTCCTTATGGTAACAGGCCGTTGGGTCGGTTATATATAATACTGAACGAGGCCGGTGTAAATAAATTTTCAAGACCGAGGTCCTTACTGGATTTTTGAACGAGGCCGAAGGCCGAGTTCAAAAATCAGTAAGGACTGAGGTCTTGAAAATTTATCACCGGCCGAGTTTGGTATGTATTTTACTGTATGCCACCGATAAATTTATTTTCTGGACCGAAGCTCTTAGCCGACTTAGGAACGAGACCATCCCAAAATGTTGGCTTAAGTGCATTCTGGTAATGCATTTTTGACCGTGGTCAATTTGCTTACACCAGTTATTACCACACCCCTCTGGCTAATGTATTTGAATAGGCCAGGCATACAGTAAAAAGTGTAATTTGTGTGACTAAAAATACGCGTTGCTATTCTACAGCGGTAAAGTTCACGTAGCGTGCTTTAGCGCGCGTAATTGCACGTTTTCGGCATTACCCCAGCCAGCCATACTTTCATTTGCAGGCCCATAACTTTTCAACGTGCTGTATAAATTTCAAATAGGCAGCACACTTATGCAAAGACGTGCTGAAGATTACTTGACCGAATTGACCAGACAAACGGTAGCATAATGAGTAGGAAATGCAGCTTCGAAGACGCATGTAGTACAAAGGAAACGTACCTTGAAAACGCTCTTGGCGCCCTCACAGCCGAAGTATTCCGAATGACGACTGGTAACAAACATGCGATAATTGGTAGTCACTTAAGCTTCAGAGCATCACTGACAGGTGGCATCCATGTCATACGGTTTTCGAAATATCTCGAATTTCGGCTTTGCCCCAACTCCGGCATTGCCCCAACTTCCCCTACTTATGTTGCTCATATTTGCATATTTACGTATGTATGCTGTTGCTAAAAATATCGTTGTGCAGCCGCTCGGATGTGTTAGTGCTGGCTGTGTCAGTGTCTGACACTCTGGTGTCAGTGGTGCAGCGGGGAGCTGGCGGCAGCTCTGTCCGACTGCAGTCAACTGACACAGCTCTGTCCGACAGGGCCGGATGTGACGGAGCCGAGGTGGCCGGAATGGAAACCGTGGTTTCATGGTCTGTCAGTGTCGCTCCAGGGGGTGACTGCCGACACCATCAGTCACCTGGCTGACCTGGGACGGACGGTCACACGACTGGAGATATACGGTGAGCAGCGGCAGCACGGACAGGCCGCTGATATACCAGCTCAGCGAATGGCGGACACCGAGTAACGGTGTGCCGGTGTCGCACCTAATGGAGACAGAAGTGATACATAGCCAATGTGCTTTGCGAAATAATGAAGCCAATTGAGCTCCAAAATGGAGGACTGTTCACTCAGTGACATATTCGTTCAGAGTTAGTTGATCATACTCATAACAATTGTGTTGCACTGTTCAATGAAGTTCAATGTATTTGCTTAACATTGCATATAAGTATCATATAATAGCACTGTCTTACCATTGTCTACTGTGTCCATAAAACCATGAGAATTATTAGGTGTTTTTTTCGTTTTGTCATATATCGACATATATTACAGCTAACTGTTTCTGTCTGTATGTGTGTCTGTGTGTTTTCCAGACTGTCCTGATCTCACGGCCGGCAGCCTGGAGCCCCTCACCAGGTGCCCTGAGCTGACGAGTCTCACCCTGTCCGGCGGCATCCCTGACACCGTGAGCCTGGAGCCCCTCACCAGGTGCCGTGGGCTGCAGGACCTATCAGTCACCGCTGCCGACCTCCCGCTACTGAGGGGGCAGCTGCCGGAGGGCCTCAGGCGCCTCAATGTCAGAGGTGAGATACCGCAAATCACACATGTAATGCCGGTATATGCAAATGGTCAGCGAAGATGGCATATGGACGAACCAATCAGCCTCAACTAGCAATTTCCACCATTGATCGTGTACATTATTGTGGTGGGAGGGGGGGGGGGGTCAATGCATGCACTTGCATAGGGTCACATGCTTGTGGCGCATGCATGGAATATTAGTGTAATGTCGCGGGTTGATTAGAAAGTCAAGGTACTAGTTATAGTTGCAATATCACAAGCAGCAAATTTCCGAACAAAATTGATTAGTCTGGGTCGACGACTGACACTGACTGACTACATAGAGAGAGCTCGCTGACGACGAGTCTGAGCAGACTGACGAGACTGACTGGCCGCGGCCCTGGCGCGGCGGTTATACAGAGTATAGGTGGCGCCACGATCGAAGGCGGCCAACAAGGAATGCATGGGCATTGCTACAATTAGTAAACACTTGAGCAGTTATTTCCAATGAGGGATGATTATAGACATAGTGCAACCAATAAGAGTAGTATAAGTAGTTTCATAGACTACTGTATTATGCATATACTTATCGCATATACATATTATGATATTATGTTCATATTTACATTCTACATATAACTGCTGGTGCTAAAAAATTGCTGTGCGGCCGCTCGGCTATGTCAGTGCTGGCTGTGTCAGTGTCTGACACTCTGGTGTCAGTGGTGCAACGGGGAGCTGGCGGCAGCTCTGTCCGACTGCAGTCAGCTGACACAGCTCTGTCCGACAGGGCCGGAGGTGACGGAGCCGAGGTGGCCGAAATGGTACAGGGGTGATCTGTCAGTGTCGCTCCAGGGGGTGACTGCCGACACCATCAGTCACCTGGCTGACCTGGGACGGACGGTCAGAATACTGTATATATACGGTGAGCAGCGGCAGCACGGACATGCCGCTGATGTACGAGCTCAGGGAATGGCGGACACCGAATTGAGGTGTGTCGTTGTCGGACCTCATTGAGACAGGTGTGATGCATACAGTGGCGGATCCAGGGGGGGGAATGGGCATTTGCCCCTCCCAACGGCATAATTTTAACATTACGCCTATGGACGATGCATGGAAAGAATCGATAAATTGTTATGGTTTGCCCCCCCCCCCCAAACTCTGAGCTGGATCCGCCTCTGGATGCATAGCCAATGTGATTTGTGAAATAATGAAGCTAATTGAGCTCCAACATGGTGTGAATCAGTGAGGGAAGGGAATCGGTGACATATTCGTTTAGACTTAGTTGAACGTACACATAATGATTGTAATGCAATGTTCAATGCAGTTCAATGCATTGGTTGAACTGACTGCATATCATACATTACCATTGTTATATCATCGTCTGTGTCCATAAAACCATGCGAATTCATAGCTGTTTCGTTTTTTTCCGTATATTTACATATATTCCTGCCGACTGATCCTGTCTGTATGTGTGTCTGTGTGTTTTCCAGAATGGCCTGATCTCACGACCGGCAGCCTGGAGCCCCTCACCAGGTGCCCTGAGCTGGAGAGTCTCACCCTATCCGGCGGCGTCCCTGACGCCGTGAGCCTGGAGCCTCTCACCAGGTGCCCTGAGCTGCGGTGGCTCACCCTGTCCGGCGGCGTCCCTGACGCCGTGCTGGACAGTCTCAGCAGCTGCCCCGGGCTGGAGTACCTTACACTGGGGGACCGCCAGCGGCCGGCAGAGACGGCCTTCACAGCAGCAGCGTACACCAGGTCAGTCAGCAGACACTGGCGAGGGGTGTCCTGTCAGACACTGACACACTGACACTGACACACTGACGCACTGACACTGACACACTGACACACTGACACTGACACACTGACACACTGACACTGACACACCGATACTGACACACTGATACTGACACACTGATACTGACACACTGACACTGACACACTGACACTGACACACTGACACTAACACTGACACACTGACACACACTGACACACTGACACGCTGACACACTGACACGCTGACACACTGACACACTGACACACTGACACACTGACACACTGACACACTGATACACTGATAGTGACACACTGACACTGACGCATTGTCACTGACACCAACACACCGACACTGAAATACTGACACTGACACTGACTCGTACGTCCGGCCGACTGGTGCCGCTGTGTTTGTGTGTGACGGCTCTGCTGCTCTGCTCTGTTACAGACTGGTGAAGTCGTGTCGGAAGCTGTGGGTTCTGTACCTTCACTGCACGGCAGACACCACCCGGGCCGTGCTGACCGCCCTGAAGGAGACGGACCTGGGCCGGGACAGTTTTGGCCGGTCCCGTATCATCTGTCTCAATGTCCCCGGTAGGTGAGAGGGCGCCGCGCGCCGCGCCTCTGACCAGTCAGTCCCTCACAACAGACGCTGCACGGCGCCACCGGCCTCTCAGACACACACACTCGACCACCGCCGCAGGCCACGTCACGGACGGTGACGTGACGCGTCACGGCCACCACGGCCGACGGTGACGTCACGTCAGCCGTCTGTCCTGTGTGTGACGTCACTGGCCGGCGGTGTGTGGACATGGCTGTACCGCTGTCTGTGTGTCTGTCTGTGTGTGAGGTGTCCACCTCAGACGTGTCTCTGCTCTGTCCACAGAGGAGCTGTACCGTCAGCTGTTGAGCCAGGAAGGCGATGGGGTCGAAGTGTATTGGTGGAGGGATTGATGCGCTGCACTACCGACCGTGCAGTGATGAGCTGACTGCAGAGAGGCCGAGCCAGTCGGCCGGGGCAGCCAGCTGACTGCTGCCGTGTGTGCTGCACCAGCCGGCACTGAGAGCGGCGCCGGTCAGCCGGCACACGGCCCCCGTGTCCGCTCTAGTGTAGTCATGTAGTTGTAGTAGTAGTGTAGATGTAGTAGTAGCCCACGGATGTGATGTAGTGGGTAATTACCCGGCGGGTATTGTGGGTAATTGGCTGGACGGGAGATGTGATGTAGTGGGTAATTTCCGGGCAGGTATTGTGGGTAATTGGACGGTGGTATGTGATGCAGTGGGTAATAACCGGGCAGGTATTGTGGGTAATTGGACAGTGAAAAGTGATGTGCTGGAGAGACTACCGATCGTGGCATTACGCTATTCTGTATGTAGAACACACGTCTCTGATCGTCCGACTCGGTTCACCGCGCCTGGTCCCGGCGGCACGGCCGGCCTCGGTCACGTGACCGTCCCCCGGTGGAGTCGGACGGCTCGGTCACGTGACCGCTCCCCCCGGGTCTGGCTGCACCTCGGCTCGGCGGTGCTGAGCGCCGTGCTGAGCGTGTTGTGACACGTCCCACACGGACAGCTCTACTCGACTACTGGCTAGCTGCCGTCCGAGCTGGCAGTATACACGCGGTGCCAGTTCAGACGGCGGCCGGCCGCGCCGCGCCCGCCCGCTCCGGTCCCGGCCGGCGGCCGTCATCCGGCCCGGGGCGGGGACCGGTCCGTCAGCTGACCATTGGCCAGTCAGCTGACCATTGGTCCGTCAGCTGACCATTGGTCAGTCAGCTGATTGGTCCGTCAGCTGATTGGTCAGTCAGCTGGTTGGTCCGTCAGCTGATTGGTCCGTCAGCTGATTGGTCAGTCAGCTGGTTGGTCCGTCAGCTGATTGGTCCGTCTGCTGATTGGTCCGTCAGCCAATCAGTCTCCACCGGCGGAGCGCGGCGCACGCCGAGACTCGAGACGTCAAACACATGTCTACTTTATACACGAGAGGAGACGCTTCAGCTGTACCATCTGTAGCCTAGGGCAATTAGTTACCGGGCGAGTATTGTGGGCAATTGGGTGAAGTGATGCGATGTAGTGTGTAATTACCGGTCAGGTATTGTGGATAATGTAACCCTGGGTATGATATAGCCGGCTATCCAACGGTCGGATATAGTCAGCTGGATGCTACTGAATTGTGTAGAGCTCTGACGGCACCGGTCATAACGAGTGTCCTCGCGTCTGTCCGACTCGGTTCACGGAAGCACGCCGTCACGGCCCGGGTGCGCGCCGCCATGTTTTGTGTCCTCTGCTTCGTACAGGGGGGTAATTGGGCTACCGACCGATTGGGAGTCGGAGTCGGAGTCCGTGTCGATCAAGCTGCCTTGACTCCGACTCCGGAACGGCTTTTTAGATTTTAGTTATCACTTGGCCATGCTACTGATAATCGGCTGCGCTTTGACTAATACATTTTACACATGCCCAGTCTTTGTCCTGGAAAACAGTTACCTTCGGAGCTTACCTCATCATTTGTGCTAATGTCCTGGTGACCTGAGTACAGTTTGGCTCCACCAGAGGAAGGGGGGGGGGTGTTTCTGCGCCGCTGTGCCGCCGCTGCTGTGACCTGCCGAGCTGCGGTCCCGGCTCCAGAGCACACCGTCGGCCGTCGAGGCCTGGTCCTTCTGTTCCGTGCACATCATCAACAGGTGTCGTATATATCTATAATACGGGCCCAGCGTGGCAGTTCACCGTTAACCGGCGGCCACACACTGACTGGCTGGATCGCCACTCGCCGTATTTCACCGCCTTCCCCGGTGCCGGGCGAACGATAACCTGTATACGACACACCGTTTTACCCGCCGTCATTTGGGATCAGGTCTGAGAGCCACCTCTGGTAAATCAGCTGCCGTCTCGAGCCATTTGGCTGGATCTAGGATCCCATCGGATCCAAGATCAGGATAACTCCGTGGGATCAGATCACACATATACCTTTTCTGAGATCCCTGCACATTGCACATGTGTTTTGGCCACTCTGGCTGGTGTCATGTGAGTAGTTTCCTGTTGCAGTTCTGTGTGTGTTGTATGGCCTGCACCCGTCCCCGTCACAACTGCAGTGTTCGGTGCTGGTCAGTGACCCACAGCTGACACCGGGCCTCCCACCGCCGGCGGATGAGCCGGCCGGCCCGTGCCCGGCCCTCCATTCCAGCCGCCACGGCCGGCCAGCGGCACTTGTCCAACACCGGCTGGACACACTACCGACTCGGAGACACACACGGCTCGGGAGACACCCGTGGCGTGTTCTGGGGCCATACACGGACACTGCAGTGGCCACTGGGCAGAGGTGCGGACCGGACGTACCGCCCGCCCCTCCGACTGGTCAGAGGTGCGGACCGGACGTACCGCCCGCCCCTCCGACTGGTCAGAGGTGCGGACCGGACGTACCGGCCGCCCCTCCGACTGGGCAGAGGTGCGGACCGGACGTACCGCCCGCCCCTCCAACTGGTCAGAGGTGCGGACCGGACGTACCGCCCGCCCCTCCGACTGGGCAGAGGTGCGGACCGGACGTACCGCCCGCCCCTCCGACTGGTCAGAGGTGCGGACCGGACGTACCGCCCGCCCCTCTGACTGGGCAGAGGTGCGGACCGGACGTACCGCCCGCCCCTCCGACTGGTCAGAGGTGCGGACCGGTTTGGACGCCCCTCCGACTGGGCAGAGGTGCGGACCGGACGTACCGCCCGCCCCTCCGACTGGGCAGAGGTGCGGACCGGACGTACCGTCCGCCCCTCCGACTGGTCAGAGGTGCGGACCGGACGTACCGCCCGCCCCTCTGACTGGGCAGAGGTGCGGACCGGACGTACAGTATGTCTAAAAAGTATGTCCCCTGGTTTGGCTCTCCCACAGGAGGCGAATCGGTAACTTGGCTGAATCCCAGTTGCGGCACCCGGCCGCCAGGGTCGCTGCCGGGCGAGCGGCCTTGACCGCTCGCATGTCATTGGCAGTTCGGTCCCTCCCCATCTATACAGAGGTGGGGAGGGGAGAAGAGGGGAAGAGAGGGGAGGGAGCGGCATCTGCGCGGCACTGGGCGATACCTGGCTGACCCCGCGCTCCCTCGCTGACCTCCGTCCTGCCCTCAGGCGAAGACCGACTTCCTCGGCCCGTAGCGGCCGAGCGGAAAACCGAGCTCGCAGGGCGCGACTCCATTGGCCCAATCTTATAAATGGAATGCTGTCGTATTCACGGCATTAAATAATATTAATCACGGGCGTAGGAACGTCATGAAAAGTGGGTGGGCCACCCTGTCAAGGGGCCTCCTTTTCCAGGGGGCCTCCTATTTACAGAGGCCTCCAACTTTTACCTCGTCCTGCTGGCTGCTTTCAAGTATGACCTCCAAATCTAGCTTCTGAGATCGGTCAGATGTACCCAGGGGCGTAACCGCTTAAGCGAACAGTGCGGAAAGTCCGCACCATTTTTAAAACTTATTCCCCCTCCGATTTTTTTAGAATCTATTTGCCGCAAACGGCACATGACCCCTGAAAACCCTTACGCAAATGTCTTCCTCGTTTCCCAGGTGCCCCCATTAGCTTCATAGGCGCCCTCTTTGGCATATAAGCGCCCTATGTATAGTCATCAGAGACATCCCTATGTCCCACAGTCGCCCCGTTGTCGCATACAATGTGCGCTTATCATAGGCGTCTCTCTTTTATGGACACTTGAAGGCGTCTCTATTTGCCATGCCGGCGCCCCTGTTTCTTATGAATGCACCCCCATGGCATTGATCAATTGCAGTCGCAGACCTCTATTGCATGTGGACGCCCATATATGCAGGCCTCAGAGGCACCCCTCTTTCGCATTGAGGCGCCCCTATGGGCTTCATAGGCGCCCCTCTATTGCACGTAGGTGCCCTACTGTCTCAGAACCGCTCCCATTTGGCATGCAGACGCCCATCTTTCGACAGAGGGGCCGCTGTGGTTCTTAGAGACGGCATGTTGCTCCCAGACGCAGATGGGGCTCTCGGAGTCGACAGTGTGGGACCTTCAGTCGCTGATGGGTGCCCGCCAGATGTGGACCCTCTGAGACGCCGGTATGGGGCCCTCAGAGATGCCGGTATGTGGCCCTTAGAGACACCGGTGTGGAACCCTCAGATACTTCAGTGTGGAGCCCTTACAATTGCTGGTGTGGAGCTATGAATGCGCTGGCTTAAATCCCTCAGAGGCCGGTACATGGACATTAGAGCTCAGTGAGAGCTTGTGTGGTGCCTTCAGTGGCCTTGTGGAGCCGTTAGACATCAACATTCAACATGGTGCTCTCAGGAGCCGGTGAGTCCTCAGAGTCACCGGTGTGGGGCCTTCAGAGCTCCGAGATACTGGTGTGGGACCCTCAGAGGTGTCGGTGTGGGTCCTTCAGATATAGCTATAGAGCCTTGAGATACACAGGTGTGGTGGCCCACAGAGGCGCCGGTGTGGGGCCCCCAGAGCCACCGATATAGGGCCCTAAGAGACACTAGTATGACCCTCAAAGGCGCCGCTGTGTGGCGCTCATTAACACTGGTGTGGAGCCATCACAGGCGGGTGGAGCCGTTAGAGGCCGGAAAGGGCCCTTTAGATGCCTACAAGGAGCCTTCAGAAGCCGGCGTGGCACCCTTATGGGGATAAGCGTATCTACTTAGGAGCCCTTGAGGTGCTCTCATGAGCTCTGTGGGGCCCTACCGAGCCGAAATATGGCCACGGCCAGTTGCCGCCGCATGGCTCTTCGGACTATCATTCTCAGGGGCCTCATCTGCCTAGTTTGAATAGAAGGGCCTCTCAGACAATCAGTATCATGGGCCTCCTCTGGCTAGTATAAATAGAAGGGCCTGTTAGACCATCAGTCCTAGGGCCTCTGCTTAGTATAAATAGAGAACCTCTTAGACTATAAATCTCAGGGGGCTCCTGTGGACAGTATAAATAAAAGGGCCTCTCAGACCATCAGTCTCGGGGGCCTCCCTCGAAAAGTGTAAATGTGGATAGAGGGCCCCCTCAGATTCATTAGGAGTGGACCTCTCTGACTATCAGTCTCAGGGGCCTCTTGTGGCCAGTATGAATATAAGAGCCTCTCAGACCATCGGTCTCAGGGGCCTCTTCTGACTAGTTTGGATAGAGGGCCCTCCCAGACCACCGGTTTCAGGGGCCTCCAGTGGCCAGTTATATGAACAGAAGGGCCTCACAGCCATCAGCCTCGGGGGCCTCTTCTGACTGGTGTGAATATAAGGGCCTCTCATACCATCAGTCTCAGGGGCCTCTTCTGCCTGGTGTGATTATAAGGGCCTCTCAGGTCATCAGTCTCAGGGGCCTCCTCTGACTACAGTGTAGATGGATAGGCCTCTTCTGACTATTGAGGATAGAGGGGCCTCCTCTGACTAGTGAGGGTAGGGGGCCTCGGCTAGACCGCCAGTGTCAGGGGCCTATTCTGACTAGTGTGGATGGAGGGGCCTCCCAGACCACCAGTCTCAGACCTCTGACTAGTGTGGATTGAGGGGCCTCCCAGACCGCCAGTGTCAGGGGCCTCCCCGACCAGTGTGGATATTGGGGCCTCCTCAGATCCACTAGGGCCTCTCAGGCCATCAGTCTCAGGGGCTTCGACTGACAAGTATGAACAGAGGGCCTCCTTGGATCCATCACGGCCCCTTGGAGTCCGTGCGTGGGGATTCGTGGAGCTTATTTTTACCGAGTTTGTTTATTCTGGAAGGTGACGACGTCCTCTCAAATCGAGACGAGGGGCCTCGAGTAAAAAGTGGGTGGGCCAAAACACATGGTTGGCCCCCCCACCTCGAAAAGTGGGTGGGCACTTGCCCACCTGGCCCCCCCTGTTCCTACGCCTATGATATTAATAGTGATACCAGCAGTGGATGTCGTAAAATACAGTCCAAAACAAACGAAAGCACACGATTGACGCATAATGCGCCCTCCCATTCAAATAAGCCCGTCCACTTCAATAGATGGTGTAGTTTCAATTCTTAGGGCGTATAAGATGCAAAACACTACCAAACTTTTTTAGCTCGGCCACTGGGACCGTCAATATACAATTGACTGAAATGCATGAAAACCATTTTGCATTTAATAGCCGTTTCCTGCACCCAAACTTTAGCCAGTGACGCCCTGTCCATTCTAAAGCGTTTATAAGATTGGTCCCAGCACCCGATTTTATATGAGGAAGTCGTTTAAAAAGTATCTTATCTCTAACCAATTTATTTATTATGGCCACTTTTACAGGACCTCTATAGAGCTTTGACTTTTACATTTCTTCCTCGTTCAGGAGCAACGTTTTAACCCTCACCGGACCTTCAGGTTTTCTGAATACCGAGGGGGCGTTGGGGGGTTGGAAGTGAGGGAACAACCCCCTTTGCCGATTCGCCCCTTAATGAGCTAGAGCCTCACGAAAGAAACGATCGTGCGCGTCGTTACGAAATGCAGCGATTGGTCTCCGATTTTAAGGACCAGGATCA